TGCTATTACTATAATTATCATTGAGTGGAATGGATTAATTTAATTTTGTATCAATTGTTTAAGATAATTGGTTTTTGATAAGACCAAAGCATTATTCGCTTAATTGAATGCATATGACCGTGTAAACAAAATCGATATTCATTCATGGTTTTTCATGCTCCGCCCCCTTAATTTGCCAACCCAATAAACAATGAATGGAATTGTTGCCAACTCCCTTAATATTTGTTTATTTTTGTAGCAAGTATAAGAATTTTTTATTGCAAGGAAAAATTTATGTGAGAATTTTTGATTCGAAATTTATGACTGAAACATATGTTGATGGTATTTAATAAAATAGATTTAATATATTTGTGAATAGGAAGTTGTATTGTTATTGATTTTTTTATAGAAAATTTTATTCATCATAGCTGAATAGAACATGTATAGAAAATGGAAAATGTCCAATAGAATTTTGTGTTCAGGCAGGCTAAATTGCAAAATGTCCCTAGAAATTTTAATTCATCCAGGCTAAATTGAAAATTCCCTTAAAGGAATACTAATTCAGCCAGGCTAAATTGAAAATATCCTATAGAAATTTCAATTCAGCCGGGGTAAATTTGGAAATTTTCTAAAGAAATTTCAATTCAGCCAGGCTAAATTGAAAATTTCCTATAGAAATTTCAATTCAGGTGGGCTACATTGAAAATTTCCTATAGAAATTTCAATTCAGCCAGGCTAAATTGCAAATTTTCTATAGAAATTTCAATTTAGTAGGGTTGGGATGAAAATTTCCTATAGCAATTTCAACTGAGCCAGCCTAAAGGGAACATTTTGTATAGAAAATTATATTCAGCCAAGGTGAATTGCGATTTTTTGTTAGGAAATTGTATTTAACAATGATGTTGATATAAATTGACAGGTTTTTTATTTGTTTGACATCTGGAACACCTTTTTACTTCCGCTGATTGTAACAATTTATTGATTTTCGATGTTTATTCGTATCAGATCCATGGGTATTTTTCCGATAACCTACAATTATTTTCATGTTACAAATAGAGTAATATTTTTAATAATTTAATGTATACTGTTATTATCAAAAGTTGTTATCAAAGGTATACAGTTTGAAGGGAATGCTTTGTTCACTTCTTCATTACCTACACAGCGACATTGCCAGGTTACCTGATCATTAAATATGTATTATTTGGACGAAGGACAAAGGCAACAGCTAAATTCTTTGTTTGGAAAACAGCTAAGGAACTGCATTTCAAAAATCAATCGATAATTTAAATTAAGCTATCCTCTATCCTTCTAATACCTACCATATTGTCAATAGGAAACCTGCAATATTAGAATTATTTTTTCCTTTGGAAAACGACAAATATCATCTTAAGGAATTAGCCTACTAATGTAAAACTAAATATTCATAAGTCAAACATTACAAAGCGCCCTGTGTGGATGCACACATGCATTCACATACCTCCTATCCTCTTTGTCCTTCTATCCATCCTTCCCGCCTTCCTTCCTTTGTACAATTCAACTTAAAAGTAAACGTCGACGACAGTCTCCCCCCTGTATTATGGATAAATAATGGCTGGAATTAGTTGGAAAGCTTAGCACAAGGAAATGGCATACAAACAAACAAACTCGAACGGAAAGTTTATTTGTTTGTGTTGGTGTGCCTGTGTGTTTAACTATCATCTATCTGTCATAACCTTCGCCCTTCTTTGCCTTTTACTAGTTTTTTTCATGACAAAATAAATATAATAGAAAATTCTCCACAAAGGAAGCAAGCACGTTAATGTGTATATATGCTGGGTACACCATGTGTCTGTATGGGTGACATATCAGAATGAAATGCGCGAATAATGGCCCGTAGCAACATAAATGACAATACTTTCATACGATGTCAACTAAAATGACTTTCGAATGATATGTTTATTTTTTCTTTTATTGTTGCTTATTTATTGTACAGAAAAAGAGATCAAAATTTCCATGGAAATATGGTATTCAGCTAGGCTGAATTGAAAATTTCCAACAGGAAATTGTATTCAACCAGGTTGAATGGGATATTTTCTATTCAAAACTATATTCAGCTAAGCTGAATAACAAATTTCCTTAAATAAATTATATTTAGCCATGCTAAAGTGAAAATTTCCTATAAAAAATTGAATTCAGCTAGGCTAAATTGAAAATTTCCCATAAAGATTTCAAGTCAGCCAGGCTAAATTGAAAATTTCCTATAGAAATATCCATTCAGCCAGTATAAATTGAAAATTTTCTTATAGAAATTTCAATTCAGCAAGGCTAAATTGAAAATTTCCTAAAGAAATTATATCCCTTGCAATTATTACGAATTGCATGCCCATAAGAAAACGAACAAGACACGGAACCCATAGAGCAGAAAATTAAAAGAAAAGAAAGAAGAAATCGCCAACTATAGGTTAATTAATTTTAATAGCTCTGATTGTTGAATGTCGTGGACAAGCAAGGAAAAAAATATATCCACAAGTACTCTTCGCCCCATTCATTCATGCCATGCATAGTGGGTCTGTCGACACACACACACATCTTCACACATTGTTGACAAGCAAGACAAGAACAAGTGAATCTTTCACACAGACACACACTCACTCAAACAAGTCGTCGTTGTCGTAGTCATTTCGAACTTAAACATTCTAGCTAGGCAAGTGAACTTAGTTCTATACGGTCTCCTCCACAAGCCGGTCATGTGAAAAGCGTTATTTGTGCGTTCTGATTGCCACAGGCTATAACGAGGCAGACACACGAACCCACAGACAATTGTTGCGAGATTAACAAAAGCAAAGCTCAAGTGCGGTCGATCGGTCAGTTTTAACAGATAAAGCGCAATTCAACGCTTCAGCCAGATTGTTTTGAAAATTACAACAAATCATAAATATTTTGAATGAATGTGTGTGTATGCTGTTGTTGTTGTTGCTGCTGTTCTTATTTTATTATTAGCGTGATTCAACAACGAGTGTTTTGACTGTTTGTTGTTGTTGCCCTGTTAGATATGTTTGACATTAATTAGTAACACATTTCAAATGTATTTTGGATTAAAATAAACAAACAAACAACAACAAACTGTTTTAGGTTTTGAACTAACCGGCAGCTAAGATGCACAATATAGAAATAATTATATGTGAGTGTGTATATTTTGTTAAATAAAATTTTATATAGGCCACAATTCAAATTATTAACAATTTTCTTTAGGAAATTTGCAATTCAGCCTAGCTGAATATAAATTTCTTTAGGAAATTTAAATACAGCCCAGCTGAATTCAATTTTCTATATGAAATTTTTACTTAAGCCTTGCTGAAGTGAAATTTCTATAGGAAATTTGTAATTCTGCCCAGCTGAATATAAATTTCTTTAGGATATTTACAATTCAGCCCTGTTGAATTAAATTTTCTATATGAAATCTTTACTTCAGCCTGGCTGAATTGAAATTTCTATAGGAAATTTTCAATTTAGCCTGGCTGAATTAGAATTTGTATAGGAAATTTTCAATTTAGCCTGGCTGAATTAGAATTTTTATAGGAAATTTTCAATTTAGCCTGGCTGAATTAGAATTTCTATAGGAAATTTTCAATTTAGCCTGGCTGAATTAGAATTTGTATAGGAAATTTTTAATTTACCTGGCTGAATTAGAATTTCCATAGGAAATTTTAAATTTAGCCTGGCTGAATTAGAATTTCTATAGGAAATTTTCAATTTAGCCTGGCTGAATTAGAATTTCTATAGGAAATTTTCAATTTAGCCTGGCTGAATTAGAATTTCTATAGGAAATTTTCAATTTAGCCTGGCTAAATTAAAATTTCTAATTAGACTGCCTGAATTGTAAATTATATATGGGAAATTTTCATTTTAGCCTACCTGAATTGAAATTTCTATAGGAAATTTCGCATTTTTATAAGAAATTTTAAATTTAGCCTAGCTGAATTGAAATTTCTATAGGAAATTTCTTATAAACATTTTTTATTCAGCATTGCTGAATATAATTTCTTGTAGGAAATTTTAATTTTTTGATAGAATATTTTCAATTCAGCTAGGCTGAATATACATTCCATTAAATTTAACCACATTTTAACCTTTTTTAATTTTATGTATGACCTTTTTAAGTTATTTATTTAAGGTATTTAAAATATAATCGCTATTTTTTGTTAACATCATTTCAGAGAGCCAATGTCATGCCATGACAGCATTGCAACAGCAACAGAAAATATTTCGAATGCATCAGCCAGCCACAACAAATGGAATTGTTAAGATGGAATTGTTTATTCCACTGCTCACAAAATAGCTAAAAAAATAAAAAAAAAACAAATAACAAAATACAAAAACAAACTCAACGAAGAAAAGAAATTTTGACTACAAACTAGCAGATAATAATACAATATTTTTTATGTAAAGACTATAGGACTAAGGAAAGGAAGACACAAGGCAACTCACTCTCAACTCTATACTACATCACTCAACTCTACTCTCATCAATCAAATACTAAAGCGATTGCTGAAAACTAGGCGATATTGCAAAATGTTTATAAAACTTTCGAAGTCTTCGAAGATTGTTTAACGATAAAAAATATGTCATAAATGAATTTAACAAAACAACAACAAAAATAATTTACATATATTTTTCTGCCATCTTTACATTGTCTACAAAAAAAGGAAATATTGTAAAAAAAACTCTACAACTATACAACGTAACAAAAAATAAAAATTTTAAAATAATTTTTACTCTACATATATAAAAAGTAACTAAGAAAGAAAGTTTAAAACCTAAAAGCGAAATTCAACACAAAATAATCCTTGCCTAAATAATAGAATAGAAATTCCATTATTTTTAACGCCCCACTCAACTCTCCAAAACCCTGCGACAACAATTGCAAGACGACGTCGTCGCCGTGTTGCTGCTGCATTTTGCCATATATACAAACCAAAACCAAACCAAAATCAATTCAATTGTACTTTGTATTCGTATTTATTTAACAAATCTCTATTTTTTGTTTAAACAAAAACACAAAGAACACAAAATATTCAACAATGTTTAAAATACGCCAACGTAGCTGTCTTTTATTGACCTTAGCCTTAATTTTGTTGCCATGTGTTATTGTACTAATGCTAATGGGTCCAGAATTATCCACCGAACAGGCGCTATCACAACGTTTGGGCGAGTGCCATATGCGTCTGCAGTACCTGGAGACAATGTATAGGACACGTCAGGAGGATGTTGCCCTGCTGTCGCAGTATCTAATACAACTACAAAATACCAGCAATGGTGTGACAGCAATACCAGCCATAGCACCCGCAGCCTCCTCTGCAATACAGGATAAAAATTCCTCCACCCTAATAAACTCGGCAGTGCCATCAGCTCCAGCCTCTCTGCTGGATGGCCTTTCGGCCGAGGCCCGACAAATACTACGCAATGCCTCTCGCCAGCATTCACAGCAAATGCATTTGTCCAGCTCTTCAAATGTCCGGCTGCCAACGGCCTATCACTTCTTGCCACATCTCTCCGATGATCCAAATTCATTGCGTCCCGCTTTACTACGTTCCCGAGGGCGTTCTGATGTTAGCATTGTCTTGGGCATACCAACGGTAATGCGTGAAAAACAATCCTATCTTTTGGGTACATTACACAATCTGATCGAAAACATGAACGAAGAGGAACAAAATGAGACGCTGATCATAGTATTTATTGGGGAAAGTGATCCCGAAAATGTACAGAATATAGCCAAAAGTGTGGAGATAGCATTTGAGCCGTACATCGATTGTGGCCTCATAGAAATTATAGCCCCCTCGGCATCGTATTATCCAAATTTTGATAAATTGCGTATAACATTGAACGACTCGTTGGAAAGGGTCAAGTGGCGAAGTAAACAGAATTTGGATTTTGCATATTTGATGGCGTATGCACAAACAAAAGGTACATTAAAGAAATATAATAAAAAAAATTATATTCAGCCACTATAAATTAAAAATTTCCCATAAAAATTACAATTCAGCCACGGTAAATTTAAATTTTCCCATAAAAATTCCTACTCAGCCCGGCTAAATTGAAAATTTCCTATAGAAATTTCAATTCAGCCAGGCTAAAGTGAAAATTTTCCATTGAAATTCCTATTCAGCCGGGCTGAAGTGAAAATTTCCTATAGAAATTGGTATTCAGTCAATCGGAAGTGAAAATTTCCCATAGAAATTTTAATTCAGTCATTCGGAAGTGAAAATTTCCTATCGAAATTACAATTCAGCTAGGCTAAATTTGTAAATTACCTATAGAAATTTCAATTCAGAAAGGCTAAATTTGGAAAATTCCTATAGAAATTTCAATTCAGCTAGGCTAAATTTGGAAATTTCCTATTCATCCGAGCTGAAGTGAAAATTTCTTATAGAAATTGCAATTCAGCCAAGCAAAATGGAAAATTTCCCATAGAAATTCCTATACAACCGGGCTAAATTGAAAATTTCCTATTTCCTGAATAGAAAATTTCTTATAGAAATGTCAATTCAGGCAGTCGAAAATGAAAATTTCCTATAGAAATTCCTATACAGTTGGGCTAAATTGAAAACTTCCTGTAGAAATTTCAATTCAGCCATCTGAAATTGAAAATTTCCTGTAAAATTTTCAATTCAGCCGGGCTAAATTGAAAATTTCCTATAGAAATTTCAGTTCAACCAGGCTGAAATTGAAAATTTCCTATACAAAATTCTATTCAGCCAGGCTGAATTAAAATTCTTTATTATTTTAATTATAATTCTCTTTTTTCAATGTTCTCTCCCTCTCTTTCCAGGCACATTTTATGTCCAACTGGAAGATGACATTCTGGCGAAACGCCATTTTATAACGACAATGAAAAAATTCGCCATTACCAAAAGCGCTCTAACCAAACCCGATCAACCGCCATGGTTTCTCTTGGACTTTTGTCAATTGGGTTTCATTGGGAAAATGTTCAAATCGGCCGAGCTGCCTTATCTGATAACGTATTTTCAAATGTTCTACAATGATAAGCCGGTCGATTGGTTGTTGGCCTATTTTATGGAATCGAAAGTGTGTCGCAATGATCTCGACCAGAAACATTGCAATCAGGAAAAGGCCAAATATTGGCTGCACTATCGCCCGTCGCTGTTTCAACATATCGGTACTAGTTCTTCGCTCAAGGGTAAGGTACAAAAGCTAAAGGATAAACAATTCGGCTCGAAAGTACCCACCTTCTATGCCCACAATCACAATCCACCGGCCCAGGTGAAAACGAATATATCGCCGTATAAAAATTATCAGCTAAAGCGGGCGTATCGCGGTGAAACTTATTTTTGGGGTCTACTACCGCAACCGGGTGATTTGGTGCAATTTATTTTCGATAAACCCACTCCCCTAAGACATTATCTGTTTCGAAGTGGTAATTCGGAACATCCATCGGATCGTTTTTACAATACCACAGTTGAAATTTTACCCGCCGACACCTTGAGTGAAAGTTCTGCGGTATGGAGTTCATTTAACTCGACCACAGATGGCTATTTAATTGTGGGTTCCTTTGATAATATGGGTGTAGCTGAGGGTTCGATAGACACGAAAATAGGTGCCATTAAAGAGATACGTTTACACGTGCACGGGGATAGTGAAAATTGGGCATTGCTAAGTGAAATAGATTTACAGGCGGATAATAATAAAAGATGATTGGCCTAAAGGGGGAGAAAGGGAGAGAGAGGATGATATGTTGGTGCCAGGTGCAGCAAGGTGAAATAGGGTGAAACAGGGTGTGATAATGAACCGTGGGAGATTTTTGTGAAATGTTCTTCTGTGAAACTACCCCCAAGTTGCCTCAACCAAATGACCATGCTTTGTGTGTTGGTAGCAAGAATGAAACCCACAACAACAACAACTAGAGGAAAAAGAAGAACAACAACTGAAAATCCTACTATATTATCAAGCTGTGTTTTTTTTTACTATGTAACCCCTACATGATGACAACTACAAACAACAATTTGGAAAATTTTTTTTGTTCGTTCCTTCCATAATGATGTCCCCAAAGGTGTTTATTTTTTAAGTGTTTTTGTTTTTCTACAAAACAAAGTTACATACTTATATGTATGTATGCCTGGCTGTCTGTCTCTCTATGCAACCAGTCCGCCGTATGTGTTGCAAAATGTCTTAACAACAAATACTACATTTTATATATATGTATATGTATTATATGTATGTGTATATTAAAAGTATTCTACAACTACTATTACTACTACTCTACTACTATTATTATGTGTCAGATGTTGTGACTAACCACAGTTTTTTTATACAACAATATAAGATATGACGTAAAGGATTAAGGACAAAAAACGAAGAAGAAAAAAATGCAAAAAACCAAGGATTGTGTGTGAAATACTACATAAGCAAGGAATTGTAAAAAAAATAAAGTAGTTATAGTGGGTTTTATATGAAAAGCTTATCCCCGGCTTTGAGGGTTTTTATTTTTTTATTTACTTCTTTGTTGGTTTTGTTGTTTAAAATTGTTTTTTTTTAATGATGAAGAACTATAGTTAGTATTAATTTATTTATTCCTTGTCCCGTTATATTCAGCCAGGCTAAATAGAAAATTTCCTTTAGAAATTCTAATTCAGCCGGGTTAAATTTTGAAATTTCCTATAGAAGTTTCAATTCAGCCAGGTAAATTGAAAAATTCTAAAAGAAATTTCAATTCAGCCAGACTAAGTTGAAAATTTCCTATTGAAATTTCAATTCAGCTGGGCTAAATTAAAAATTTCCCATAGAAATATCAATTCAGCGAGGCTACATTAAAAACTTCCTATAGAAATTTCAATTCTGTTATGCTGAAATTGAAAATTTCCTATAAAAATGTTTATTCAGACAGGCTAAATATGGAAATTTCCTATAGAAATTTCAATCCAGCCAGGATGAAATTGAAAATTTCCCATAGAAATTACAATTTAAACAGGCTCTATTGACAATTTCCTACAGAAATTTCACTTCAGCCACGCTAAAATGAAAATTTCCCATTGAAATTTCAATTAAGCTAGCCTAAATTGAAAATATCATATAGAAATTTCAATTCAGCCAGGCTAAATGAAAAATTCCCATATAAATTTCAATTCAGCCGGGCTGAAATGAAAATTTCTTATAGAAATTTCCATTCAGCCTGGCTAACTTGAAAATTTCTTATAGAAATTTCAATTCTGCTGGGCTACATTGAAAATTTCCTAAAAAGATTTCAATTCAGCCAGGTTGAATTGCAAAATTCCTATAGAAATTTCAATTCAGCAAGGCTAAATTAAAAATTTCTTATAGAAATTTTAATTCAGCAAGGCTAAATTAAAAATTTCTTATAGAAATTTTAATTCAGCAAGGCTGAATATGAAAATTTCTATAGAAATTTCAATTCAGACAGGCTGAAATTAAAAATTTTATATAGAAATTTCAATTCAGCCGGGTCAAATCCATAAAAATTCATCATATTTGAGATGTTCATAAAAAAATTCAACCTAAATAATTCCTATTTCTAACTCCATGACAAACCTACATTTTTCTTAATTTAATTTAATTGTAAAAATTTCCAATTCGGCAGCTTTCAAAATTAAGGACTTTTATTTTTTTATGTTTTTTATATATCTATGTATGTAACTCGAATATTGTATATTCTAATTTTATTAATACTTATGTATGTTATCCATGACTGTTTTTTAATTATTATTTAGTCTCGATATATATCACTATGATTCCCATTTTTTTATAACTCCCTCTTTTTTATAAGAAAAAAATTCTAAACAAAAATCCCCTGTCTAAAAAAATATGTGTGTGTAATATTTGTTTAAATAAAGCCAATTTTTTTTTACAAAGGCTTGAAAAAGAAGAAAATAAAAAATATATATGCTACATTATGTACTGTGATTTGTTAAAAAAAATAATTTAAGTATTAAAAAGAAATAAATAAAAATATACATTTTTTTATAAAAAAACAAACACAACACAATATTTAATAAAATGCAGATTGTAATGGAAAAAGATTGAAAGTTTTCATATAATGTGTTTCTTATTATTTTTTTGTTAAAACAAGTCTCAAACAACCACCATATGTTTTGTGACAATTTTGTAAAAAAAACAACAACATTTTTTATGTAAATTATTTATTAACAATTTTAAGAAAAGGCCAAAAGCAACAAAAAAGTAATATAAAAAACCCAATTGTTTGCAATTTAGACTGCTTTTTTATTTAAATGTGTAAAAATAATGAGGAAAAAATCGAAGGAATGAAGAAATGAAAAAATAATAAAACAAAAATAATTTACAATGGTGCGCTAATTAATTTATTTTTATGTAAACAGAAAAAAACTTAACAAGAAAATAAAAACAATTAACAACAAAATAATAACGTAATAAAAAATACTTAAATGTTTGCTCAGTGTTTGAAATATTAACAACAGCAGCAACAAAAAAGAAATAGAAAATAAATGAAAACAAAATCTCACAACAGAAACAACAAAAAATGCGTTAATAAATTAGCAAAATACCAAAATAAAAAAAATAATAAACAAAACGAAATGAAATAAAAAACACAATTTTTAAATGTAATTTTTTTAGATATATTTTTCATGATTGTAGTTGTGTAAAAAAGAACAAAAACAAGAACTAAAACCAAAAACAACAACAACAATTTAGTAAAATTAACAGGAAAAATAAAAATAATAACAAAAAATGTTAAATAAAAAATGTAAAAAATTAGCTGTTTTATATGTTTTTAAAGGGAAAAGTGGGACTTCCGGACATATGTAAATCGACTTCAAATTGTCTAAAACGGATTTGGTCCAAAGAAAAACATGGGGTCTAAAACCAATATTTCGATGACGAACATTTTTGCCGAAGCAAAGTGGGAATAACCTCCCTCATTAGCCATTAGGCTGAGGTTATAGAAATTCTCCCCTTTAATGAAAAAAGTCACGACCAAGCAGTACTTGAAAAAAATATTCTATAACAAATCGACCCTATAATAGTCCTCTATCAGTGCATGAAAAAAATCTTTAAAACTTGGCTATAAATTTCAATTTTATTCCGGTATTTTTTAGTTAAATAAAAAATTCAAACTTCAAATAATTTTTTTCTTGTGTATTAATTAACACACAAAAAACTACATTTCTACCCCTATCCAATAATGAAAGTTTCATTCAAATATCTCCATTCATTGCCGAGTTATAGCCATTTGAATCTGACCATGTGTCAAAATATAGCTGCTACACGATTCTGTTTGCCTAGTACCAGAAATGAGAAAACGCAAGGAATTGCAATGCCACAAAACAAGAAGAATGCCAGAAGTGTTGCCAACTTGCTATCTGCATTCATGTAACGCCTAAAAGTATGCTCACAATTTCGCAAACCAACATGGAAACACAAAAGCAAAGCAAGTTGGCCACGCATCCGTCATGTTTTGTTTCCATGTTAGTTTACGAAATTGTGAGCATACTTTTAGGCGTTAAACGGATACAGAAACCAAGTTGGCAACACTTCTGGAATTTTTCTGTTTTTGTGGCATTGCAATTTCTTCAGTTTTTCCATTTGCTACACCAGGCAAACAGGATCGTGTAGCAGCTATATTTTGACACATGGTCAGATTCAATTGGCCATAACTCGGCAAAGAGAGGAGATATTTGAATGAAAATTTCACTATTGGATAGGGGAAGAAATGTAGTTTTTATGTGTATCAATAAAATACCATACGTGGATTTCAGAAAGGAAATAATATAAGGCGAGTATTTTTTAAATAATATTTTTAAGTCGTGGATTTTTTAATTAATATTTGTAAGGCCTAAGGTAAAGCGTGGAATTTTTGAATGTCATTATCTTTTCTGTTTTAATCAACTAAATTGTATCTTCATTAGAACCATTTCAAACCCGTGGCCGATAAAGCGTGTCGCATTCCATAATTGAAACTACATTTCAAAATCCAATTTTTTTAAATTTTAATACGTTTTATTTATTTAATGTTTGTTTATATGTATATGTGTTGTGTAATATGTAATATTATGTATGTTTTACTAAATGTCGTGCCATATCCAATTTTTATTATAAGTGTTATTTGAATAACTTTTTCTGAATAACTGAAAATATAATGTATATAACTATATATAATATTTAATTATGAATATGTTTGTATATAGAGATTTGTTTTGTTTGCAACATGAATGAAATATAAATAATAATAATAGTAAAGATCAATTATGAAATTCTAGAAATTTGTTTTTGAATACTTTTTTATATATAGAAGTTTAACAACAGTTTCCAATAATAATACAACGGGCATTTTCATTAAATTTATGTTTCTGAATCATTTCCAATGATAAAAAAGAAGTTAAACAGTTATTTGTTTGTTGATGTTGTAACATTTTTTTTTTTTTTGTTTTTTTTTTTTCGTAAGAACCTTTAAAAGGCGGTCGCGTTCGTAAAATATTTTTCTTTGTTCATTAATACACATATAAAATAGTTTATGTTTCATATTTTGCTCAAGTCTTTGTTTTTTTTCGCACACCATTCAATTAGGTTTTTAATTTCCACAAGGCATCCAATTCGTTGAGTGGATCTTTAGTAGCTTGTTTTTCTTGGGCGGTAACCTGTGGTGCAATCTTCATTTGATATGAAGTCATTATGCCACCTGCAGATAAAAAACGCAATACAATTATTTTATAGTTTCTTTTTTGACCTATTTCTACTTACGTTTGTTTAGAACATCATGGGCATGATTCAAAACAATTTGCAAAGATTCTTCCAATGTCTCAATATCTCTCAAGGCCTGTTGGCGTTGTTGACAAATGCGATGCCAAACATCGACCACATCTATAAAAAGAAGGAAAAGTGCACAAAATATTTATTTATTTGTTTCAAAAATATAGAATTTGGAAATTTTAAAATTCGGATTTTTATTCCTTACTTATTAAAACGGGTCGTTTATTTTGTGTGGCCATTATTGCACAAATGGCCACCGCCACCAATTCCGATCTCTCCGAACCAGTTAAACAATTCATAATCAATGGTGATTGGGGATCATTGAATTCCATACAACGCTGTTGATGGGCCTGGGAGGCATTACGAGCAATACCCACAACCATAGAGGGTGTACTGGAAATTATGGAAAAAATAATTTCAATGTATTTGAAAATAACATATATTTCAAGACTTACCTCTTAGTCCATTGTTTTATTTGCAATATGGCCAATTGTATAATGACATCTGAACCCAACATACTTAGATTTAGTTGATACTCCACACAGTGTGATAATTGTATTATTTTTACACATTTTACAGTGAAATCGTCGAAATGCGATTCTTTGTCCAAGGTTTGGGGCCAAAATGGATCTAACATCTGTAAACAAATTATTAGGAATAAGTTTTTAATTGAAAAATCTATTTCCATTTTTTTTTATACGAAAAAATGGTTCCAAATTTGTATCTATACGAAAAAAAATGGTCCGAATTTTTTTCTATACGAAAAAGAAAATTGTTTCGAATTTTTTCTATACGGAAAAAATTGAGCAGAATTTTTTTTCTATACGAAAAAATATGTTCCGAATTTTTTTCTATACGAAAAAAAATATTCCGATATTACCTCATTTGGTGTATGCAAACAAAGCACAGTTCGAGCTTTCTGTGACCATATCATGGACCAAAAATCATTAATGGTATTTTGCTGGGGAGTCTGAGCAATTATCAAATTAGGGCAACCACTGCCAAGATTCTACAAAACAGAAGAAGATAAAAAATAAGTTTTTTTTAATTAAAAAATACTCTTGTCCTCCACTTACCTTTATGTAGGCAGCATTAATATAATCATCTGTCTCCTTATCTAATTTGACTCGAGCATGATCATAGGGTAAACAATCCAATGAACGATTCTTTTCGGGAAATAATTTTGCAATAGTGGTAGTACGACTGCTGGCATCTTTGGCCAGAAGATCTTGCAATTCTTTCCATTTGGTCGATAATGCCGTATGGCCATTCAGCATTTTAACATTTAACGAATCGACAAGTTTTTCAAAACGTTCCACTTCTTTATGGAAATATTTTAAAACTTTATCATCGGTAAAGGGATCAATGGGTTTCATTTGGAATGTGGCCGAATTGGATGAAGAAATTATGGAATGTTTATCGCCGAGATTTTGATGTTTATCTGTGGTGCTACGCATTGAAGTGGAATCCCAATCAAAATTATCCAAAGAACTAATATCCGAACAATTGGAAAGATTATCAAAACTAGCTTTGCGTACAGCTGGAGAATCGATGGGAGATGTTAGCTCCATGGGTGTGGTGGTAAGGGAATTGACATAGGCCTGGAAGTATAGCAAAATAATTAAGAACATACAAAATATTAATGATGACCATTAAGCATACCTCAACATGTTTGGTCTTTTCTACAATTTCAGGTGTAACTTCCTCGGTGACTGATGTGGTCTTGGTGGGTGGTGTTTCCGCAGCCACCTGGCTAGCCGGTGGACTATTAACTACCACGGGTTTTAAAGCTGGCTCCGGTAATATTGGCGGTGGTACAGCCATGACTCCGGAGAAATCTATATCGGATAATAAATCAATGTTAGATGTTTTGGGAGCTGCCGTCTTTACCGGTTGTACGGGTTTAGAAGTTGTTGGCGTGGCATTATTTGTTGGTTGCAAAGGCGGTGGCTGCTGAGCTGCCTGCTGCTGTTGCTGATGTTTTGGTGTTGTTGGTGTATGCTGACTACTTGTGGCATAGGTATTAACACTCTTGGTAGTTTGGGTATTGGCCGTGGTACCCATACCACTTTGTATATATGTTGCAGATTGCTGTTGCTGATAATAATTTTGCTGTGGCATAGCATAGTTTATAGCCGCAGGTGTATTAACGGCTGGTGGTATGGCTGAATTTGTTGTTGGTATTTGGGGGTTTGGTGTAATCGTATCGGTATTATTATTATTCTTTTGATAGCCATATGGTGGATTATAATAACTTTCATTTGTCGGTTTTATTTCGGGATTTATTACCGGGGCACTTGTCTTTGTGTGTGACACAATGGGGGCCTAGAATAAAAGAAAGAATAATTAATACCTTCTAAGATATCATTAAGAAATCTTGTTAAATGGAGTAGTATATTTTGCAATTTAATTGAAATCGGCCTTAATGGCTTCAAATTGCATTTTTGGAATAAATAAATAAATAAATAAAAGGAGGGCATTCAAAATATATATCTAAATATATATATATATATACCATCTTATGATGGTGGAGGTTAATACTCAGTAGTAGGTACTTACATCAAAACCCGTGGACAAATTAGTTTTGCCCGAACTTTTGGAGTCTGTTGTACCCACTTGAGAATTTATGGGTTGGGCGCCAGTAGTATATTGACCATAAAATGGTTGATTATTGGGTGCTGCCTGATGATAACCACTGCCATAATCAAATGTACCACTTTGTGGATTATAGCTATAGCCAGGATGCATTGTGGATGAAGATGTTTTCCTCAAAACACCACCAGTTGATGTGCTAGAATTAGCTTGGGTGGTGGTAACAACATTTGGAACTGCATTTGCATTTCCACTGGATGGAGTTTGTGCAGCATTTCCTGGTAAAGTATAAGGTGACTGTCCTGGTGCAATTGATCCCGACACATTTGGAGCCATCGGCATTGCTGCTTGATTCGAAGGATTTCTAGCCACTATAGGCATATTTGAGAATGTGTTTGCTTGTCCACCAGCAGCTGCTGCAGGAGTAATCATTTGTTGCTGTTGTTGACTTGGAATATTGGCATTCACTTGAGGATTCACATTTTGTCCCGGTAGATTTTGATTTGTCAACTGGCCTCCAGTTGGAGGCTGAAATTGTTGCAAAGTCGGATTTCCTGCAACTTGATTATTTACAATATATGGTGCTTGTATTGTTGGTGGTACAATTTGATTGGTGGCCACATACAATGGTTGACTGGGAGGTACATTAGTGTTATTATTTTGGGCGGGGGAATTATTGAAATTGTTATTGGGCATGGTTGGATTTTGTTGATAATTAGCTGTGTTGGTGCCATACAAATATTGGGGTTGTGTTGCCGTGGTTGAGGCTGTCGTGACAACAGGGGATGTATACATTTGAGTAGCATTGCCTCCAGTGGTCGTAACTGGCGAGGAATAGGCTTGAGTGTAAGCCACCGGCATTTGTTGAGATAATGTTGCCGTTGATGTATTGTAGACTGAATTTCCAGGCATATACTGTTGTTGTTGTTGTAGTGAAGTCTGTTGTGTATTCATGTTACCACCATACATTCCCATCATTTGTGGATTATTCATTGCATGCGAGGCATTATAGTTATTCTGTTGTTGTAGATTTGTTGATGGAATGCTGTTATTCATTGGATTTTGATTATTGTAGACATTTGCATTTCCTGCACCTGGATTACTGTATGGACTTTGACTGTAGGGCATTTTTGGACTATTAGCCGCACCACCACTTGATTGTTGCAACGACAAATTTGCCATATTCACATTTAAATTGGTAAATTGTGAATTGGGTGAAGCTTGTGGCTTATAGGCTGGTGGTGCCACATTCTGTTGATATTGATAATACATAGGATTGGTGTAACCGGCTCCGTTGGGATCATAATATTGCTGTTGTTGTAGACTGTAGGGTGGTGGTGGTTCATTGGGACCCACAGTTGGTGGTACAGTATTTCCTGATGCGGTATTCGGATAGTAGGTGCCTCCTGAGCAAACCGCCTGTGTGGGATTTTCTGAACCCAATGGATTGGGTCTTACTGGTGGTATATATTGGGCAGCATTAAGATTATAGGCTGCTGGATTGTTGGTATTGCCCAAAGCCATATTTTTTTCCTTTGCAGCATTTTTAGCTTTCAAATAGTCACGTAGTTTTGGAGTTTGCGATACGGTTGCGGATGAATATGTGGTATCTGTGGGCAAAGGGGAGGGGCTTGGTTTATTGTTAACACTTTTCAAGCGTTGTTGGCGTTCCTCGGATTGGACATCACGTGCGGATTTACAGCGTGACAAAAGTTTTTGGACATTGGCTAAGGGGAATGAAGAAAACACCAATTAATGTACATTACAAATATTTAAAAATAAACTTTTCCTTCTTACCAGATAATTTATTATAGAACTCCAAACCTTTAGCCGACTTGGCCAACAAATCTTCATACACATCATAAGAAGCTGCCAGCGAAGCAAAGAAACTCTCTCGCTTATGTTTAACATCAGCTAAGGTCTTTAAAACCGGTGCCGCCTTGGCATATGATTCCGTTAAGGCCTTCAAAATATTATCTTGGGCCAACAGATTCTGATCAATTAACTGAGTTAAACGTTCATGTTTGGCCAATTCTCTTTCGAAGAGCCCTTGCAAATCTTCCTCTGAATCGTGCGCAATAATTTTCGATGTAATATCATCATCATTGACGGCAATGCGCAAATCAGCATGAAATTGCGATCTTTGAGCCTTCATTTCATTGACCTTATTGACAATCAATTTGACATCCTTAAAAACTTCAGCGGTATTAAGTTCAGAACTCAATTTTGGGACCGATTGTTGTATTTCCTGCAATGGCTTTGCCAAGATTTTCAAATTATTTATATGCAGTTCCATTGCTTTGCGTAGAGTGTCATTGGATTCTCCTGCACGATTATGGGCTTCATTATATTTTAGAAATTCTCTCGACAATTCTGTTATGTGGGCATTTGGTGTTCTCTGGACACCGGTCAACTGTTGAAATTCCTTTTCTTCTTTATCTTCTTGGGCGAGAATTTGTGATATCTCTTTTAGATTGGCTTCGACATCTGTACAAATTTCTGCCAAACGTGACATGGATGCCACCAATTCGGGTATAGCTGAGGTGTTGGCATTCAAGGCAGCACAACGGTCGACAATGCCTTGGGGAATTTTATTGGCTTTTTCCTCATTGATGTTTAAATTGTCCAAGGTCAGGGAGCTCATAAAACTGGCCAGCTCACTATCCCTTTCTTCAATTTTTGCTCCATATTTACGTAAAAGTTTGGCTTTCTCTTCACTGTAAAGGGAACTGGCCTCATGGGCTTTCATGGGTACCAGACGGGCAAATATATCTTCACCAGCTACCTCAGGATCTGTTACGGAAAAACTAATGCCATTGACTAAATTGGCACCCTGTACTGCACTTATGCTGGCCAATTCGGGTACGGGTTCATGATAAATGAATTCATTTTCATTTTTGGCATTTTTACGTTTGCCCTCGACCACATCGGCGGTGAATATCAATGACTCGTTGATTTCTTTTTGATCGGGTAGACCCTTGGACTCCTTGCGGGCCTCTTCAAGTTTTTCCCAAGCGGCCTAAGACAAAAAATAAAATTAAATTTTAAGACTGCTTTAGATAACTATATTTAATATTTACCTCAAAGAGAGTCAACCTCTCACCCATTTTCCTTTGCTCCTCGGCATGCTGACCCTGATACAAATACAAAATACAATTCAAATAGGAGATTTTAAAGCGGACATATTTCTTCCATTGTTTGTAGACGGCAGAATCCACCACGGAGGCCACTGGTCCATCATCACCACCCGTCAACAATGCAGCCAAAGCAGCTCCATAATACACCACAATTTGAGCCGTCACCTTGGCCACTATGTTCGGTTTACGATTATCAATCAACGATTTTTCCAATATGCATTCTTGGGCCTGGGCCAAGGATACCTGTTGCATAAATACCAATAGTTCAGTGGTAAAACAATCACCAAACTCATCCATGTTTATGTAACGTTCACGTATCTCTCCAAATGCCCAAGCGGCACATTGGAAATGGGTACAGGCCAGCTTCATGCCCTCAACATCGGTACGATCCACTGAGGCCCCAGCCTGTGTGTGGGCAGTAGCTATGTTAAATAGTACTGCAGCTTGTTCATAGCCAATATCATTGTATTCATGGACTTTGTTCTGGTACAAATCTTTCCAGGTGAACTGAAAGATGACCTTTTTATCACGGAGTTTGGGAAAACGATTGAGCAGCGATTCTAATTGGCAAAAATATCGCTTCAGTATAGCACAATTATCTTTGGGTGTATTCAAGGCCTGATTTCGCAATGTCTCCAATGCATACAGCTCTTTGGAGTAGTTATCTGGATTTTCTTGATAAAATTCGGCAATATACTGAAAAAAAGATAATAAACAAAAATACAACAACAATGAAAAATACAATTAACAAAGGCAGGCAGTTCGAATTACAAATGCAAAAAATTAGCAGATATAAACAATCATCGTTAACGATGACTCAGTTTTCCTTGTTAACGTTGACCCCCCTCATTCAAAACGCCCAGTCAGCCAGTCAACCTAATTGCAAATTGAGGTTTTCCATTTTTCCCAGACCCAGTTTTGTAGTTTAAAAACAGATGATTTTCCATAATTACCCTTTTCAGACCAGCAAATGATGTTCCCTCGGGACTTGATTTACTGGGAAACCAAAGCATATGAAGCCTTGGAACAGCCTCCATTCTCCTTTTTTAATTGCTATCGGAATTTTGCACTATGCAAATTACGACGAATCAATTTTGCTGAAGATGGATTTGGTGCTGCTGTTAAATCGTGTGTTTCTTCTTTGTTAGTTGTGTTTTTCTGATAACTTTCTTTATGTTTTTATATTAAACAAACAATTATTCTCGGTTAAAAATAAACAAATAAATAAAATTAAAAACTTTTCATTAGTACGGCGTCGGCTTTGTCTTTCCCGAACGATCTTGTTCAAATGCTTTGATTTTGTGAAATGAACCAATGGAACTTTTGACATTTTATGCCAAAAGAAGAGGCTAAAAAAATGGCTGATAAAGTAGGAACACAGTAGAAACTGACCGACATATTGTTTGTGTTTACGTATGAGTGTAAAACAGAATGCCGCAAAAATTCGCAACTGCGAATATCAGCTGATAATATTAGGGACATATAAGTGGACTCCAAAGGAAGTTTTTTTAACAGACGCATTTGGAGGTTCTTGCAGGTTCAAAATTGTTTTTGATTTTTCCATTGTATATCTGAAACTTTTATCAGTCCATATTTTGAACTACCACTTGTTATTCTCTTCACATTTGAACACTGGAAGTTACGTAATTATTAAAAATAAAGCGAACATTTAACTCAAACATGACATTTGTCAGAATATCACAATAACAATTCCTGGGGAAATCCCTTTATATCGGGTATTGCGGTAGCTCTCACTTGAATGAATAAATTCAATGGAAGCTATTCACTAAATGGAACTAAGTGAACTTACATGTTAAATTTACATTAATTGTATATACTTTTGTTTTATATACTTTAAATATTATTCCACATTCAATAGACTAATTATTTTTTAAATAATATAACAAATACATTTTTATATTTCTTGTTCATTTTATTATATTAATATTTTTGTGTAATGTAACTGTTGGCCGTTTACTTTGGTGTGCTTGTTAGCATTCACATTGAGTTGATAACATCAATGCATGGCATATGATATTGACTTTGACGTATGAAATGTTACCAAATCGGCGGTATTTGTAGTTTAAAGGAATATATTCACTAAATTGAACTATTTGTATTGCTTCTCTATTAACAATTTTATTAATAATTAATGAAATTTTCGGAAAGAAATGTATTGGTCATTTATTTTGGTTTGTTAGCACTCACTTTGAATTGATACCACAAAGGCGTAGCATATGACATTGAGTGGCTACTTAAACTAGGGCGTAAAAATATGAACAAATTGAGGTTAAATTCGATTTGTGAAATCTATAACTGTTATTAAACTATAACATATATTCATTAAATATTTATAAATATTAGAACGAACATGAACCCATTTCATTGGAAAATCTAATATATTATAAATTAATTTTTATCGAAAATTTCACTCAAGCATCCTTTATGGTAATGCCAGTGTAGGTTCATGTCTACATTTTCAATATTGCCAGGTTAGAAGGTGTTTGTCTTCGATTGGGGTTTTTTTTTTTTAAACTTCGTTTTGCCATTCTCCGCTTGTTTCACCATAGGATTATATAAAATAAATCGAAATTTTAATTTTAAAAAGTAAATGAAATCTGTAGCATTCTATTTCACGACGAGTCGAATAATGTTTCGAATAAATTTCCAAAGATTTTTTTTCCAAATTTTTCTATCGAAGGGGCTGTAGTTTTGCATTCCGCGTTCTTGGATGGACCCCATGTAAATGTCGCGGTTCATTTAAAATATGTATATTGAGGCTAACATGCTGAAAGTTTCAAACGAAGTGGCTATAATTTTGCAGGGTTTATGGTCGGTAAAAAGCTTATTCGCATAACATTTAGGATGTAGGTTCATTTATTGACATATCCCCAGGGATTCATCTCCATATTAGGTAGTATTTAAAGGTCCAAAGCAGTGTCCACCTTAAAAACGCAATCCCAATATAATGCAGAAAAAAATCTTCTAATCTCCTTGCTTCCTAAAAAATTAACTACAAAATAACCGCATTTGTTTTATGGGAGTGACATTGACAAAAATGCGACATTTCTCGTTTTGATGGTCTTAACATTTCAAATGATGTGGTGAAAGAAAACCGCGCTCGAAAAAATCCCAACTAAGAAAAGGACATTCTATTTATTATGACAAAATTACTGTGTGTGCGCCAGGCAGACTGTCAGTCAGTGTGGCAAAAGTTAGTTGTAGCTTAAAATGTTGCTTAGCCATTAAAAAAAAACACACATACATACATGTTTATATAATACAATATTTTGTTGTTGCTGTTGTTATTTTTGATGTTTAACACGAAATATGCCAACGCTAAAGGGCATCTCGCTCTGTTCTCGCAGACTTTCATAAAAAACAGCATAACATTTTAAAAATTGCAATGCCACATCCACAACATATGCACTTGTTTTAGACAAATTTGCAAGTGTGTGTGTGTGTGCGTGCATATGACAATTCCTTTTTAGCCGTTAGTCGTATTTATATTTTGTTGTTGTTGTTTTTGGTTTACCAGAAATATGTACATGCTTTACACAACATTCACACTCACATTTTTATATTTGCGTGGACTTCTCTGAGTGGGGACGTGTTTGTGTGCCCTAGAGAGAGAGTCTTAGCCACCATAACATAATAATTCCTCTGAATAGAACAACAACTTCTATAGAGAAACAAAAAAACAGAAATGGAATCTCCCCCTGGGGCTAGTAGAATGTTGTTGAAATTCTTCATGTCATGTTTGAGTGTAAGTGTGTACATGATACGAGGTAGGTTGGAAAAGTATGTAGATACCACTGAGGGAAAACTTGGAATATAAATTTACAAAAACTAGGAATAGAAACAAGAAAATAAAGAAAAATTGCAGAGGTCAGAAGCTGCTATGAGTGTTCCGAATGTCCACAGAAGGCCTGTGGAAATTCCCCTAGAAGACCCTCAAAATATCTTCCCATCTTTAGAAGTCTTCTAAAAGATCTTCTGTCTATAGAAGTCATGTAGCTATTATACAGATAAAAGAGCTGCATAACCTTCTACGTTCTTTCTATCGATTGTAGAATATTTTCTATCCGAAAAAATATTTTTAAAAAAATACACCAATGGCATGTCCTTGAAAAGAACCATCCAGTTTTTGAAGATCATGATGTGCTTTTCACTTCGTTAGTAAAGTGTTGTTTGTGGCACCTAAATGAACATGTTAACTATACACAGACATACATATGTATGTATGACGTGCATGTTCAACATGATGGTTATGTCAAAATGACATTTGGTAGATTAGAACAAACACTCGTCGTTGGGGTTTTTTTGTAATTTATTTTTCTCGCGAATATGTTGTAAAGTGATAACCCCTCGTCCGCCAACTTCACTCAACAACTTCGTTCTGTGTCCAAAACACAGAAGAACATGCGGAATGCTTGTAACGAGCTAACCTTCAAGCTGTTTGCCAGTTCGGAATATGAGAACATGATTTCTTTATGTTTTTCGGGTTGGAAATGGACGAATGAAGAACGAAGACAGTTTAATTAGAAGAAATTATAAAATATGTCAAAAATGGAGGAAGAAAGGAAGGATGAAGGGCCCGCGGATGGTGGATGCATTTGTAGTGCCCTAAGTCAAAAGCAATTGTTTTTCAGCTGAAAAAACGAAGAAGAAGGATTGACTGACTGGTGACTAATGAATGACAACAATTCGGTTGGCCACAGTTGTGGGTTAATTAAAAAAAAAAAAAAAACAACAACAACAACTACAAGTAATTATTATTTTTATTACTTCGAGAAATGAAGTTTGTTGTTGTCGAGGAAGAGCTCATAATAAAATTATGACAGTCTTCTTTTTCCCTTGTAAGGCTCAAGGATATGAAGAGCAGTAAAAGAGAGAACAACAAATAGTTTCCTTTGTAACTGAAAAAAAAAAATTAAAAATTCTTAAGGCTATTTTTTTATTTTCCTTCTCCTATCTATTTGAAGGACTCTTTTCCTAATCGACTACAACATACCTTTTATTGTCTTATCCTTGTCAATTTGTCTTTACTTAGTCAAAGGAAAATAGTTTCCCCCTCACTTTTTTCTTGTGCGTTTTTCGGCCTTTTGTTGAAGGTGTTTTTGTTGTCTTACCTTCAAAAAAATCCTCTGTTACACGTTTCCGAACCCAATCATTTTGATTGGCAATGGACTGTCAAAAAGCAATGGATAAAGTGTTATGAATTACGTCCAGTAGTAGTCCGTTTGCTGGATGGAAAAGCTATTGGCATATTTTCCTGAAATGAAAATTGACATATAAAGAGAAGTGCGTGCCAGTGTTAAGATGCCAGGAAAACTAATTTGAAGGCTTTCAGTTATTTTTGGAAATCTTAATATAGATTTTTTGGGGATAGTTATTTTTTTCGGTGAAGACAGTACGATTTGGATATGTAAAATATAACTTAACTTTTTTTAGGTCCATCCATAGTTTTAAAAATAGTTAATATATTATGGAAAATATATTTTCAAGGGCCAATCAAAGTCGTGGATTTTTTAAAAATATTTTTTGGAGGATCAATAGAAGTTCGCCTATTTCATAGAAGAGCTGTAAAAATATGCTGACTACAGAAGTACTGTTGAAGGTCTATTGTCTATATTAGGTCTGTGGGTTTCTGTTTATAGATCTGTTGTGACCATATAACACCTCTAGGTATTCAGTCTCTAGAGGGTTTAAAGCAGATTCCCTGTATGTTATAGTTACTTTTCTATAACCTAACCTAACGGTTCCAAAATTTCCAATGTTTAAAACAAATTCCAAATAGAAAAAAATCGAATTGATTTAAAACAAACACTCATTTCCGCTCTCTAAAACAATTCACTTCATTACAAAGCTTTTTCAGAGTGTGTGTTTGTGTTTGCGTTGAGTGAGCTTTGTATTGTTGTTTCGCTTTTTTGTTGTTGTTGCCCACCGAGCAGCTGTAGGAAATTCTAATTAAAAATCGTTATTTAATGGACGATTATTTACTTTTGCAAGTCAATGGCAAAATGAGGGGGATTGGGTGGAGGAGGAGACGAT